CCCCCAAAGCTCCAGTGGGAATTGCAAATCTTTGCAAATCTCAGTATCTCTCTCCCTCCCTCCCTCCCTCTTCCCCCCTCTCCCTTTCTCTGTCTTTCTCTCCCTCTTTCTCTCTCCCTCTCTCTCTCTCCCTCTTTCTTTCTCTCTTTCCCTCTTTCTCTCTCTCTCTCTTTCTGTCGTTCTCTCTTTCTCTCTCTCTCCCTCCCCCTTTCCCTGGAAAAGGGATGAGTTGGTCATTTTAGCAGCTCCCCCTTCAAAAGTCCTGGCCCTGGTCCCAGGGTGAGGACCTCAGAGAGAGTGAATTCCTCCTCTGCATAATGAAGACCAAATGGCTGTAACGGAGATGTCCCTTGGGACCTCCAGGAGAGGAGTTCAGGCCTTACGTGTTCTCTTTGCCCTCCAAGATCTCTTTTAAGCAGGAAGAGAAAGCAGAGCCAAAATGAAGAAGGCCCCCTCCTCTTCCTCCTCCTCCTCCATTTTCTTCTCTCCCTTTCTCCTCCTCATCCTCCTGCATTTTCTTCTCCCCCTTTCTCCTCCATCCCTTTCTTCTTCTCCATTTTCTTCTTCCCCTTCTTCCTTCAGCCCCTCTTTCTCCTCCTCCTTCATCTCTTTTTCCTTCTCCATTTTCTTCTTCCCCTTCCTCCATCCCTTTCTTCTCCTCCATCCCCTCTTCCTCGTGCATTTTCTTCTCCCCACTTTCTCCTCCATCCTCCATTTTCTTCTTCCCCTTCTTCCTCCCTCCCTTCTCCTCCTCCCTCCCTTTCCCCTCCTCCTCCATTTTCTTCCCCTTCCTCCATCCCTTTCTTCTTCTCCATTTTCTTCTTCCCCTTCTTCCTCCCTCCCTCCCTTCCTTCTCCTCCTCCACCCCCTCCTCTTCCTGCATTTTCTTCTCCCCTTCTGTTCCATCCCTCTTTCCCTTCCTCCTCCATTTTCTTCTTCCCCTTCTTCAATCCCTTTCTTCTCCTCCATTCCCTCTTCGTCCTGCATTTTCTTCTCTGCCTTTCTCCTCTGTCTGTCTCTCTCTGTCTCTCTCTTAATCTCTCTCTCTCTCTCTCTCTCTCTCTCTCGATCTCTGTGTCTCTCTCAATCACTCTTTTTCTTTCTCTCTTTTTCTTTCTCTCTCTCAATCTCTTTCTCTTTCTCTCTCTCAATCTCTTTCTCAATCTCTGTGTCTCTCTCTCTCAATCACTCTTTTTCTTTCTCTCAATCTTTCTCTCTCTGTCTCTTTCTGTCTCTTTCTCAATCTCTTTCTGTCTGTCTCTCTCAATCTCTCTCTCTATCAATCACTCTTTTTCTTTCTCTCTCTCAATCTCTTTCTCTTCTCTGTCTATTTCTGTCTCTCTCAATCTTTCTGTGTGTGTGTGTTTGTCTCTATCTCAATCTCTCTCTCTGTCTCTCAATCTCTCTGTGTGTCCTCAATCTGTCTCTCTCAATCTCTTTTTCTCTCTCTCTCAATCTTTCTCTCTGTCTCTCCCTTTCTCTCTCTCTCAATCTTTCTCTCTCCCAATCTCTGTCTGTCTCTTTCAATCTTTTTCTCTCTCTGTGTGTGTGTGTCTATCTCAATCTCTCTCTGTCTCTCTCAATCGTTTTCTTTCTCTCTCAATCTGTCTCCTTCTCTCTCTCAATCACTTTCTGTCTCTCAAACTCTTTCTGTCTGTCTCTCTCAATCTCTCTTTCCCTCTGTCTCTCTCTCAATCTCTGTGTCTCTCTCTCTCAATCACTTTTTCTTTCTCTCTCTCAATCTCTTTCTCTCTCTGTCTCTTTCTGTCTCTCTCAATCTTTCTCTCTCTCCCAATCTCTCTCTCTCTGTCTCTTTCAATCTTTCTCTGTGTGTGTCTCTATCTCAATCTCTCTCTGTCTCTCTCAATCTTTTTCTCTCTCTCAATCTCTCTCTCTTTCTCTCTCTCAATCACTGTGTGTGTGTGTCTCAATCTTTCTTTCTCTCTCAATCTCTTTCTCTCTGTCTCTCTCTGTGTCTCTCAATCTTTCTCTCTCCGCCTCTCTTTTTCTTTCTCTCTCTCTTTCTCTCAATCTCTCTTTCTCTCAATCTATCTCTTTCTCTCTGTCTCTCTCTTTCTCCCTTCCTCTCTCTCTCACACTCACACACAGGTATATCCAAGTCTTCCTGCCTTCTTTAACATCACTTTTTGCTCTGCTCTGCTTTGCTTCTTGCCAGTCTGGAATATACGATGGCGATTTGTACGACGGAGGTTGGTGCGCTGGATACGACGACAAGGACCAGTGGCTGGAAATTGATGCCAGGCGTCTGACGCGCTTCACCGGCGTGATCACACAAGGCCTGAATTCCATCTGGACGTAAGTGTGGCACAGAGGCTGGGAGGAGCAAAACCTTCTCCCGCAGGTCCGGCTTTTCCAAATGTTGAGACACCAAACCCCAAAAGGTTTGCTATCACTGGTTTAGGCTGGGATGGAAACCGATCAAAAACCAACCTAGAACTAAGGAGGAATTTCCTGACACTGAAAACAATTAACCAGTGGAACAGCCTGCCACCAGAAGTTGTGGGAGCTCCATCACTGGAGGTTTTCAAGAAGAGACTGGACAGCCATTTGTCTGAATTGATAGAGGGTTTCCTGCCTGAGCAGGGGGTTGGACTAGAAGACCTCCAAGGTCCCTTCCAAGTCTTATTATTCTCTCTAACAAAGAGAAGTATGAGGACTGACACAGTAGATGTGTACCAGTACTTGGGGGGTTATCACAGAGAAGAGGGAGTCAACCAGAGGTGGTATTCAGCCGGTTCAGACCGGTTCTGAAGAACCAGTAGCGGAAATTTTGAGTAGTTCGAAGAACCGGCCAATCCCACCTGACTGGCCCCGCCAAGCTCATCTCTTCTCCACCTCCCATTGAGTCCCAGCTGATCAGCTGGATCTTCTTTGGTTGCCCTGCACAGGAGAACGGAGCTGGAAAGCAGGTTAGTGGAATGTGGAGGGAAATGGGGATTTTGCAACATCCTTCCCCTGCTACGCCCACCAAGCCATGCCCACTGAACTGGTAGTAAAAATCGAATCCCACCACTGGATGGATGGATGAATGGATGATAGGGAAGGGAAAGGGGATTTTACAGTAACCTTCCCCTGCCATGCCCACCAAGCCACGCCCACAGAACCGGTAGTAAAAAAAATTGAATCCCACCACTGGGGTCAACCTATTTTCCAAAGCACCAGAAGATGAGACAAAACACACACACACACACACACACACACAACTAGATGAAAACTAATGAAGAAGAGAAGCAACGTGGAAATAAGGAGACACAGGCCCACCCCACTCTTCATCCTAGGGCACGCAGGAAGGAACGGAGAAGGGAGCAACGTGGCTTATGGGAGAGAAAAAGGCCCTGATCCATTTCATTAATTGCAGCTGGGCGAACAGGATACAAGTGGGGCGTTTGCACATAGCTCCTTGCTGGAAGCAAAGTGTGCATTATCTTGGTCGAGGCTTACCTGGGTTTTGGCGTCCTCCCAACTGTGGGTGTTGCGTTATCCTTTGAAAGTCTGCAATTTATCACCCCGGCCTGCTGTGTTAATTACTTCAGTGTGGTTTGTGCTGTTTTTTTATTTCTATTAATTGGTGGCTGGGATTTTGGAATCCCACCCCTGATGAAGCAGTGATGTTACAAAGACCCGGGGTGCAAATCCTGCCCTTTTGCCCCAGGCCCGTTCCGAAGTGCCTTGTTTCTCTTCTCCCTCCAGTTACAGCTGGGTGACGTCGTACAAAATCCAGTTCAGCAACGACACTCATCGGTGGAAGCCTTCCAAAAACGGGAGCCAAGAGGTGGTAAGTCCGGTGCGGGGGGAGGAGGGACTAGTTTCTTGAGCAAGCTTTGAGGGGCGGCTTCCAGAGTTGTGCGCAAATGTGAACCCCTGCTGTCAGCTGGTGCTCCGTTCAAAATCCAAGAAAGAAATACTTAAGACTCTTGTAATTAGAGAAAAAGATATCTTTTACTGGAAGTTAAGTGGTAGCAACAAGAGAATTCTGAATCTGAGGAAAAAGGCACGTACATCACATATATCAAGGGAGTGAAATGTTCCCACCCCCAATAGTTCAAACGGTCCTTCCAATTAAAAGTTGTGAACCTCATCATGTGGACATCTTCAGGTGGTGATGATTAGTTGAGCTTGGCTTACTCAGATAAAGGTTTGCAGTTGCGCAGAGAAGAGAAAGCTAACCAAGACATAAAAACACCCCCTCAGTTTATACAATATTAGTTAGTAACACCTCCAGCTCACTTCCCATACTTTACCCCCTTCTACACACACACACACACACACACACACACACAC